CTTATGAGTTGAGTTCGTGTGAACTAATAAATCCAGCCATCTCTCATGAGAGCATTGTCGCACCTGTCATTTCACGTTGACTCACCCGATGAACTCGTGTCTAGACACCTGCCATCCCGCGAGTATGTGCGTGTACGTGCAAGTGTGCGTGAGTGAGTGCTTGCGTGCGTCATAGCAGTAGCAACAACAGCAGCAGCACCAACAGCAGTAGCAGCAACAACATCAGCAACAGTAGCAGTAACAGTAGCAGCAACAGTAGTAGCAACAGCAGCAGTAGCAGCAGCAGCAGTAGCAGCAACAGTAGCAGCAACAGTAGCAGCAACAGTAGTAGCAACAGCAGCAGTAGCAGCAACAGCAGTAGTAGCAGCAGTAGCAGTAGTAGCAGTAGCAGCAGCATTATCAACATCAGTAGCAACAGCAGCAGCAGCAGCAGTAGCAGCAACAGTAGCAGAAACAGTAGCAGCAACAGTAGCAGCAACAGTAGTAGCAACAGCAGCAGTAGCAGTAACAGCAGTAGTAGCAGCAGTAGCAGCATCAGTAGCAGTAGCAGCAGCAGTAGCAGTAACAGCAGTAGTAGCAGCAGTAGCAGTAGTAGCAGTAGCAGCAGCAGCAGTAGCAGAAGCAGCAGCAGCAGTTAGCAGCAGCAGTAGCAGCAGCAGCAGCATTATCAACAGCAATAGCAACAGCAGCAGCAGCAGCAGCAGCTGTAACAGCAGCAGTAGCAGTAGCAGCAGCAGCAGTTATCAGCAGCAGCAGTTAGCAGCAGCAGCAGAAGCAACAGTAGCAACAACAGCAGTAGCAGTAGCAGTAGCAGCAGCAGTAGTAGCAGCAGCAGCAGCAGTAACAGGAGCAGTAGCGCTGATAGGGTCTATGTCCCCCCAGGGTACTACCGGAACGTACCATGGGTACGGTCCGGTATACCGGAATACCCTGGTAACTATCTGATATGCCGGACCGTACCTCGCTTACTCCCTACCATACCTTGACTGTCCCTGTTCCGCCCACTACTGATGTCGCAAAATTTAAAATATAATTACAGACCTGTATGATATTTTTATAAAGTTGGATTGGAGTACGAAACTGTGAAACCAAGAAGAAATTTCAACCTATATACACTGATGCGCACAATGCTTTTGCAAATATCGCGATTATCGGGAATGCGTTTTTCTTTCGCAATGTTTACGACATTTTCGCTCATTTTCGCGCGAGATTTTTGAAAGATGGCTTCAAGTGTTGTGGTGGAACAGGAAAATGTGTATGATTATCTTAATGGGTTGGAAA